AAATATATAATGCATACATTCCAATAAGGAGGTCTTTGATGGTGGCCGGAAAGGTTGTCTCAGACTCGATCCATTATTTTTTGAGGTATAACATTTTTTCTCTAGCTACCAGACTAATTACCGACGCAATATAAATATGAAACAAAAATGAAAAATAAAAGTTTAAATATAAATATCGGCCGACATGACGGCACACCGAATTATAGTTGTAGTCAATCTGCTTTCTGGGATCTGTAATCTGTTATTTTGATTATATTGCTCTATACAACTGTGATTGATCTAAATACTTACTAAAATGATATTTTCGATGAACTGTAATTAATGTCATCGTTTAATGATTAAACCATGAATCATGATACGTCATATATAGGCACCTGGTACACATAATAGTACCTTGCAATTAGCATCACATATTTTATCTACAATTTAAGTAATAACTAATAACAGTATTAATTATTTTTCCAACTATTACTTATTAGTGATTAACATCTTTATAGCTGTGGTCTGTGACATAAAATTACTTTTCCTTATAACTTATCGAATTCGAAATTTCATTAATTTTATTTTACGAGACAATTGACGTCTTGTTAGTAACCTGTACTTTTTTATATTTCACCAAACTAACACGTGTTGATATAATTGTTGAGTATTAATTTTTTATGGACTAGTCCCTAAACATTTAAAAACAAATAAAAAATAATTAAATTAATTAAAAAAAAAAAAAACAATTAAAATCCATTATTAATAACTCCAAATTAAATGCGTTAATGATACTCATTATAGGAAAGTTATATGGCAAGTATACACCTACGTTGAACATACGTTGACACGTAGTGAATAAAGCTGATTTAAATAACATTGTAAGTTATTAGGCAACATTAAAAACCATAATATTATTATTGATATTATATTATTAAAGTAAAAAATAAATAATTTAGAAGTTTAATTATTTAAATATTTTCAAATGACAACAACTTATTTAAAAACTAATTTTTCGAATAAAATCTGCGTGGTGCCGTCGAAAATACTTATCCTCTTTATTATTCTAAGTTATATTTTGTTCACTAATCATTCTAGAGCGATTTATTTTGAATTAAAGCCATCATATTTTTGGTACATACTAAAAAACGTCGATACGACCCAACAACCTCATAAATATATGATTATTATGAATACAATATATTTTGTCGTCTAAAATGTAAATTCCCAAAAGATTTTTAATCTCTACAATAATAACTCAAAGCTAGTCAAAAATTTTTGAAAATTTTTTTCATGTATAGAAAATGATAAAATAAATAATTGGTGAAAAGTAAAAGTACCTTTGAATAATATTTTTTGAATTATGACAAAATAAAAAAATCATTCCATGAGGTCATGAGGATTTGTTAATTTACATGTGAATATCCACTGTTTAACTTCAAACGCTCGTATAAAATTTATTTGGCTTTCCGGTATAAACTTTTTATTTTTGTAAAAGGTAAACTTATGATGAATATTGTATGAAAATTTCAAATTTTAAATACAACTAAAAACATTTTTATAAATTTCTAACACAAAATAATTTGCAATTTTTCGTTTGGTTAGGTTAGGTCAACATTTGAACTTAAAAAGCTCATAAAAAATGAGTTGCAACTTTTCAAGCATAGGTATATAGAGTTAAATTGTATTTTTTATTTTAAACAAATCCTTCTATCGTTATAAGTGAACGAAAAATAAAGAAATGTGTTACTTTTTCAACATCAGCTATTATTCTGATTAATGATCTATATTATGGATCTAACCTAACCTGGGTCATAATCCATAATTCATCATATATAATATGGTTCACGATTAAATAATAAAAAAATATATGTATATAATCAACTCCATTTTTTTCATAACTTTATTTTTCATATGCTATCTATTTTTAGCACTTGGCATTACATTTTACTGTCGCAAATTTATAATTTAAAAAAAAAACCATGAATAAGAAAAAACAGTCATCAATTGTTATTAATTTGTCTTCGTACCTATGAAATTTATATCGTTAAAATAAATAATTTTTATTCACCAATAATGGCTAATTAAGAGGCTAATATGTTTAGAGAAACTCAGTAATAAATGTTTGTATATTTTTTCTTTTAAACGTATGTACTACGTACAACTAAAATAATTCAACAATTGAAATATAATAATTAACAGTATTTTTAAAATTTTTATTTGCTTTCAGTCAGAGTATATTACCTGAATAATAAATTAATGAAAATAATTCTGATCATTGTTATTAAATTGCGAATCATAAAATGTATTTTTAAAAATAGGTTTGGAAATGATGTAGGTAAATCTTTTTTTAAACTGTAAAAGAATAAATTACTATTATAAAAATTTTAATTGTTGATAGACATATTTAGACGAACTGCAGATAGTATAGACTATACTACTATAGGTAGTTACCTCTATTTTGTTGTAAGTTATTTAAATTGTTTAGGTATATAAATATGCCTATGCATGTTGGCATCAGAAAAATATGATTGGGAAGGGGTGACATTGAAAAATGGCGAATTCCCAAGTATTGCATATATTTTATTTTTCAAAGTTCTAAATATTCTAGAATAATAACAATACAAATATTTTAATCTATTATTTGTATATGACGTATATCTACTTAACCTATGTGGTGTGGTTGAATTTTTCCAACTTTATCATATCAGTATCGTCCATTAAACATAATGTCTAGGTTGAGTTAAGCAAATAATAAGATATTCAGATTATCCGACCGATCATTTTTCGTGGTTTAGTTCGCAAATCGCAAATGATTCTTAAAGAACTTAGGTAGCCAGGTAGGCATGCCTATTGAATAATATTATATAGGTATTGTCTATTAGGTGTATATGATATAAATATAGATAATTAATTTCATAGTATTAGTATCTAACTGTAAAAGTGTAATTGTGTCAGTACTCAGTACTACTAGTACCAGGGAGCCCAATTTACAATAATATAACATATTCTCCATTTCCTAACCTATCATACAATAACCTAAACAGTTTGGCTTCTATAACTCGAAGAATATATTAGTGATTAGATACATATTACTATTATAATACACAAATTTAATTTTGAGATTGTATAATGTATATATCTTAAGAAAAAAAAAAATTTAATTTTTAAATATTTCAGAATACTAGAATAGGTACACCATTTCAGTTCCTGTTTTTGTATGGATCTAGATGTTAAGAAAAATGAGGACGAACAATATCGTTAAATTTGAATAAGTTATTATTTAACTATAAATATACAAGGCGATTTTTTTAAAGGTGCCCATAAATACTCAGTTCCAAAGAAAGATGGTATTAGCTTTTTTGTAAAAAAATATTTAGATAATATAGTCAGTGAAAAACAACTTATTTTGAAAAAAAAAATATTTTTCATAATTTTTATCTTAATGATTAGGTAACACAAGTTTCATATTTTTTGGATGTAAGCACACATTTAAAATTTAATATTTCAATACAAAATATTTTTCTGAGAGTTAAAATTTTTTTTATAAATTATAGGTACCAAAATTATTCATTTATACCTGTATGGCTGTATATATTTTATAAAAATCGAATTTCATATTAGCAGGAAGTGAATTAGTTATAAGTTATAGGTAACACTTATCTACTTCACTGAATAGATAATCATGATTTCAACTAGGTATTTAAAAATGTGAAAAGTGTTATACTTGTGTGAATTGTGAATTGCCAAGTCCTACTGGCTATATAATAGTATAAGTACATAATATATCTATTTCGGAAAATGCACGGGTCCACGGTCCACTACTCCGTTCATATAACCATTGAATTACCACAACGAATTAACTTAATTAGATTTTGTATACATATTGAAATTTTCTGCTTCTCAACATAAAATATAAATAATAAAAGCTTGAAAATGTAACACAAGATTCCTCTTATGTTTTCTTACAGAATTTAAAAAAAATCGAAAACACACATTTTGTTTTATTTTCTATAGGTACATATATAATGAGGGAGCTCAAAATATTTAGCCTAATTTTAAGTTATTTATGCAACGAATCAATTCACAATATAACACACCATCTATGTTCTACGTAAATACATCACCATTAACTTTAAATAGTTATAATACGTTATGTTACTGGTAGTTGGTACATTAGTTCAACGTCAACCTACCAAATTATTATGAAACACTAAAATTATTATAATAAATTTAATACAAAATTAACAATGATTGAACATAAATGTCGAATGGTGATTGCAGATACATCCGACCATCCACCCCCTAGTCCTAAGCTTAGAATAATTACACCGTATACCTATACAATTTATCATTGAATTAAAATTGAACATAATATTATTCTAATAACCATTAGAATATTTGATACAGTGACTTACTCATGATGAGGTACACCGAAAATCAATATCTAATACTCTGTCTGCTGTAGTTCATGACATTTTCTGTTTTTAAAAAAAATATGTAAGTATTTACTATAAGAATATGTCATCACATTAACGTATTATTAAAATTAAATAATAATGAATGGGGCTTTTACCCCTCTTGAAAGTTGAGATCGGTGGCAATGGTTATTAATAGATTTGTAATAACTTATTGTACTTAGATACCTATTCATAAATAGTATACATCAATATACCTGCAGCTTAACTATTAAGTACAATACAATAATTTATTACTAGGCAGTCGGCACTTTTTTATCTTAGGCATTCACATCATAATTTGTAAATTAATAATATATAATCTACGGGCAATGGAATGTCTTAAATTATTTTTATATTGCATAATTTAATTTTTTTTTTAAATTTAAATTAATATCGAAAGATAACTGGTAATATAATATAATAAAATAAAATAAAATATTATTTCATAATTTCATGCCATTAAACTCACTGGACACTGGTAATATGTAATAGGTACACGATTTTTACGATGTAATTGATTTTTAGTGCACGACAAGCGTTCTTTTTGCTATAAACGTTTTAAATAACGAACCTGTTGTTAAACACGCTATTTGGTATTAATGGTACAATAATTAATATGTAATCGTAATATAATATGAGCATTCCACATATTTTTTTGGTTTTTTTTTTGCACTGTCAGCCTACTCATTTTTCAGTAGCAAATAAAGATAATTATGACGTTACTACTTCTTAGCAGGTACCACCTAGTGTCCTAGTAATTATTTTAACATTTTATCAACTACAGTTATTTTGTAGTGCAAAGATTAAATCGACCAATTTATGACATCGAGTTTACAAATTTACAAGAGTACACGACGCCTGCAACTATTGTCAATATCGGCACGATATCCTGGTAAATATCGAATTAAATTGTCGCCGAACGCCGATCAATATTTTTTTATTTTTATATTGCGTCTTCGCATTTAGTAACCGTATATTAAATATTAATGTGTTGTGCGCTCCTCAGTAGTCAGTCCCCACAATATATTTAGCACCAATATAATTTCTATTTGTTGCGCAACGCTTAAAATAGTAACATTCAAATCGAAAATTGTTGTTTACTTTAAATCATAAATAAGAGGAAAGAAAACAGCAGTAAAATAAGTAAGTTTGTCGAATGTCGTTACTTCATGTTAATTATTCAATTTAATAAAGCAACCTATCATCAAACTACATAATGTTATAGTTCAAAAGAAATACTAAAATTGGCAAGTTCAGTACAGCAAAAATAAAAATGCATTAAATCCCCGATCCCTCCTTATTTTCTTTTTACCTAAGTATAAAATGTTATCTTCGATCAGCCCTACTTAGTTCGCATGTACTGTGAAGGTATCAGTAAATACTAAACGATCACAACTCGCTAGTCACAACTTTACTCTCAACTATAAATAAGAAGTGTGCACTGCAGTCGTCTGTAGTGTTTATAGCCAGTAGTCACCACACACTGTCACGGTTAGAGTTATAGTTAGGAGTTAGAAGTTAGAAGTTAGAAGTTGTCGGACCGACCTTATCTCCGAAGACCGCGGTTGCGGTGGGGTCTGTCTATACGCAGTCGATTAGACCACCACCGTCGTTATCATTTTGTTATTATCAAAAACAAAGTTGTTATCATATCGTATCATCCATTATAATAAATACATACATTGCATTATTTCATATAATATAATATAATAACATATTATTATATAAATTGTATAATAAATCTTTTATTTTATAATATAGGCACCTATACTTGACTGCTAGTAGAATTTGATGCATATTTTGCATATACAGCAATTACAATTTTCTTAACACATGTAATCTATATTACAATATATTTTAAAATACGAAACCTTAAAGTACCTATAAGACGGGACTTCTGGCCATAGAAATGGAACTATTTAAAATAGTTAATATTTAGTATTAACTATTTAATATGTTATTAATAAACTGAAATGGAACATTAATATAAATATAGTATCTTAAAAATTTAAAAATTTAATAAAGGTGCCTAAACAATACAGTAATCAGAGTGTAAAGTCCTACTATTATGGTAGTAAAAATTATTAATTAATAATTATACTACTATTTGCAAATTAAATGTTTATCTTACCTCAATAGTCAAATAATTATCTCAATTTTTCTCTATTATGGGAAATTAGGTAGTGGCTCGATAGGGAAGGCGTAATATAATTTTTTATATATCATGACCAAAGTAAAGTTATTATTTACTAGTTAACTCTTTAGTTTAAGCACTTTCTAAAAACTTCTAACACTATTAAAACTATTTTTGATTAACTGAGATTATTTAATAATCATTGCGTCATCTGTGTACAAAAAAAAAAAAAATATATATATTATTGAAGATAACTTTTCTAATATTAAGATTGTATCATCTATGCTGGAGGACTTTGTTGAAAGAACTTGTACACAGATTGCATGTGTTAAGAAAATTGTAATTGCTGTATATGCAAAATATGCATCAAATTCTACTAGCAGTCAAGTATAGGTGCCTATATTATAAAATAAAAGATTTATTATACAATTTATATAATAATATGTTATTATATTATATTATATGAAATAATGCAATGTATGTATTTATTATAATGGATGATACGATATGATAACAACTTTGTTTTTGATAATAACAAAATGATAACGACGGTGGTGGTCTAATCGACTGCGTATAGACAGACCCGTTGCGGTGTTGTTATATCACGATTATCACGCACTCGCCGCGGCTGGACGGTGAATCACGGCGGTCGAAAACCTTGCTATCGTCTTTGGGTGTATAATTGTGTATATTATTATGTTCCGACATAACCTCAATCATTGAAAATGCCTTTTTAAATCTTTTAGGAACACTGAATCCCGTATCTAATATCCGTTTGTAAATTGGTTGCATACATGCACTTGGACTGCACATGTAGTTGTAGTTGTAGGTATATTACGTCCAGATAACTTTCCCGACACTCGGCAGAGTCGACAGTTCTGATAAATTTATTACCACCGTTGGTCGGGTATTCGGGTGTGTGCGGTTCGTTAATTTTTTTTGTGATCAATTGATTTGAATTTAGTCTAAATGTAACGCAAACTATTCGTCTGCGATGGTGGTGGCCGCTGGAGTTGGGCCTGTTTCCAAGTGATGTCGAAGGCGAACAACAAGTAGAAAAATTTTGGTGACGATACATTAATAGATTAACATGGATCAGTACAGTGCTAAGGCACTGATCATTGCTTTGTCGATAGTTTCGAGACTATTTTTCGGTTTCACCCCATTACTTGTATCCAGAAAACTGTTAACCAACAAATCTACAGATTCACTGACGTCAAAAACAGTAAATATTCATATAAATAACTGTAAATCATAGTGTATATTGTTTGAACTTTATGTTTCAGCTGGAGTATCTAGTTTCATTATGCTTAAGTTTGGGTGGAGGTGTGTTGCTAGCTACCTGTTTTGCTCATTTGATACCAGAAGTGAGGGAGAGCCTCATTGCAAATTTGCCGAAAGACTATCATCATTATCCACTCACAGAACTGGTTGTTTGTATGGGTTTTTTTCTTGTCTATTTTGTTGAAGAGTCTGTAAAGCATTTTGTTAAAAAACATAAAAAACGCAGTAAAGCCAAAACTACAAGACACTGCGATAGACTATTACAATGGACCAACAGTCAGTTGACAGCAGTCAAGTCTGCTGATGATGTTAATTCTGTTAGTGTAGATCAAGGAACGGGTACTCCAGATTGCCAAATTGAACAAAATAATAATGAAATGTCACATGTACATAATTTAAGAAGTTTATTAGTTGTACTGGCCTTATCATTTCATTCTGTAATGGAAGGACTAGCTATTGGCTTAGAAGAAAATATGGAAAATATGGGTTTCCTGTTTTTAGCAGTTTCTATTCACGAATGTACTATATTATTTTGTATTGGCATTAAATTGGTGACTTCGTGTTCGTCTTTGACAAATATTGTTTTAAATATTGTTGTTCTTACTCTGGTATCGCCTTTTGGTAAGTTAAAATTTGTTTATTTACTTAATTTATCATTGATTAACATAAAATTTATATATTTAAATTAAGTCAAACCAAAAATAAATATCTTTTAATATGCAGGATGTAACAGTTATAACTGAAAATTGTTGTTCACTTAATTGTTTTGTTCTATGATGATTGTTAATAATTACAGGTAGTTAAATAGTAGTAAATTAATTACACATTAGTCAATTACTTCTGTTACACTGTTTAGAGGATGCTACACAAGCATTTGATGATTCCGTCTTACAAACGTGCATCACAAATATTATGTTCACAATAACACATTTTACTTTGTGATTTCCAAAATTAGAGTGCATTTACCTCTTATATAATTTAAAGGTAAGAATTTTATCCAGACCATTTTTAAACGGTAAATATTTTGTACATTTTAAAATGATCATAACTTACTCAAATAAATAATAACAATAAAATACTCCAAAATGCCCTAGATAATATTCTTGCCTTTAAATTGTATAAGGCTCTATGTAAAACAATTAATCTATTATAAATGCACTCTAATTTTAGAAATTGTAAAGCAAAATGTATGTAAAGTTTGCCATGTTGTACATTTGTAAGACGGTGAACAACAAATGCCTATGTGGCTATGTGGCATCCTCTCAATATAAATTATATAATTATGTTTTTTAATGGGTGTAGAATAATAATATTTTTCTACATGTTCATTAATTTATATACATGATGGTTAAGTAATCACAAAGTAGTGGAATATAGATGCAATTGTAGTAATGTTAATTAATTATTATTTAAACTCTTTAAATTAGTAAAACAGTTATTACATGAAACTATTTTTACAAATAAATTGATTTTAGTTAAATTTAATTTTTAGTAGAATTTCATTAGTTGTAACTAATAACACTTTAGATTCTAGGTGAAGCCAACACCTATTGAATTTATTGTGACAGTGTTTCAATGTTTAAATACTAATATTTACCTCTTAATCTTTTGTTTTATAATTTTGTTTAACAAATATCATTCAGTCATTACATCAGCATTTATTTACAAGTACAAAGTCATTATTTATAAATACGTCTCAGAATTCGATGCAATTGTAAAGTATTTAGAAAGTCTGTCGATATTGTAATTTAAATATGTAAAGACTGATTTAGTATAAATCTATTTTATTTATTTATTTTAAATGAATATTATAAAACAATTTTAATTATTAAATAATGTATTTTCATCGCTAGTTAAAACGCATTAACTCACCTAAAACTACATCCATATTTAAAAAAATATTGTTAATAATTTTAGAATTTTCAAAACTAATGCATATTGATTTTTAATATTTGAATCTAAAAATGTAATAAAAGTTTCTGTATAACATATTAATACTATGTGTCATCTAACCATGTTTTATTTTATTTAAATTAAATTTCTTTTTTATGAAATTAGTAATTTTTTCATTTAAAGCTACACCAAATATTTTATTATAAAATCTGGACTTAGGTATTATTTTATTTTTATTTATTTGTATTATTATTATTACTATTGCTATCATCGTTAGAGCCACAGAAATAAGGATTATTGGGTTATGAGAGGCTTAAAACGTCCAATATTAAGTTGTATATTGTTTATAACATGAACCATGTTATATTACTTATGAGTTATAAATCAGAAGTTTTGTAGTAATTAAATATATAATACCTAAAATGAGTACAATAGCATGTTATGAATTGCATAGTATTTTTTTATTTTTTCATATTTATTTCATTATTTGGAATTCCTTATTGTTATTTATGTAAAATAAAGTACTTACATAGAAAACATCAAAGTAAAATAGGTAACATCCACCCTATATAATTTAATTAGAAATTAGATGTTGTTTTTAGTTGATGTCTAAATTATGAAACAAAAAGTTCTTATAATGTTTAAAAAAAAAATTTATACTGATATCCCTATATGTTATGCATAATTGACATTTATTGCGATTTCATTTTTGCTAAATAATAACAATTACATCATAAATTAAATTTGTATTCATGCTAGTTAGTGAATAACTTTCTAAATATATATTTATTTAGTAATATTATGTATAATTGATTTTGTATGACCTTGTAAATAGTATTTATTATGTTTTTATAATTATTATTCTGGATATTTTATTCAAGTTTCATTTCAAATTTAATGCTACTGTCTAAAATCAAATTTTATTAGAAGGTTGCTACTTTAAATTATATGTGATATATACTAAAAAGTAAAAACCATAAGCTTAAGAAAATGTCATTAATTTATATTTTAACATTAGTGATTGTTACACCAATTGATATCTAGGATCTCTGTTTCTCTAATAAGCAATACATCCTAAAATTAAAAGACGTAAGTTAGTATCTTTTACGTCAATAACTTCTGATTCTTAATACATAACTATTAATACTTACAGTGCTTACATTTTCATATCTTTCATTAAAAATAAATCAAAGAACGATCGCATACTTCTTTTTATTTGATGATTGATGTTTTTACTCTTATTTGAATCTGAAACTCACTAATTAAAATATGGAACAACAGTTTTATCTATATTGCTCATAGAAAAGATAAATATTATACTAAATATTGATGTCGTATCTCCTTAAACAATTATGTTAATACCTTGACTCCAAATTTATTTGGCTCTGCAATTATTTTTAATTACTAATTATCATGTGAAAGATTGGATTGAAAATTAAGTAGTTATTTTCGATTGGATTGAAAATTAAGTAGTTATTTTCAGATTTTAAAACATTCCATGTATACCTTTTATCTTAACATATTATTTCAAACATATTTAAATTACATTTTTAAAAAACCTTTAATAATATATTTTAGGTATATTGTTGGGATTGTTATTAACATTAAATACCATTGATTTGGACCAGAATTATCATACAATTGGAAATGCAACTTTACAAGGCTTAGCTGCTGGTACAATCCTATATGTTACATTTTTTGAAGTACTAGATCGAGAAAGAAAAAAGGACACAGCGCCTGGTTTGCTCAAGTTACTGTTAACTGTGATTGGATTTTTTTTTATGGTTATGTTAGAAATTTTTGGTAAGTAAAAGATAACTATGTTATTATATAGATACTTATGTTAGTTTATCAAATGTTAAAATCATTTTCAATTTTAGGTGGACATACCCATAAAGAATTCGAACATTCGAGCCATGAACATAACAACTGCTCTACAATGACACATCATACTCATGGACCTTAACATGTATTATTATTGATCATTTCAGATGTATTTGTTACCAGATGTCCAGATATTAAAATAATAATAATTCTGTACTCCTTAAACATATGCAGTTTGCTTGTGTAACTTTATAAAAGTCCAAAAAATACTTCTGAAATGAATTTCACTCAATTACTCGCATGGCATTAAGATTAAATTAAGTTGTAACACGAATCATTTTTAACGATCTTCCATTATATTAATTTTATGCATAAATAATAAATATAATATATAAAATAATATTCCATTATGGACTATTTTTTTTATTTTGACGGAATGTGAACTTTATACGATTTATTATACATAATAATATGTATCTGACTTGAAATTAGTTTTAACTTTGTTTTAGTGTTCCTCACAATTTACTAAAACGACCATGAATTTAGTTTGTAATATTTTTTAGTTAGATAGTTTAGTTTCAATATTTTTATATTATTTTGGGTCATGTTACAGCTGTATACTTTTTAACTAATTATTTATTTACATTGTAAAAATTATTTGTATTAAAAAAAAAACTTTTGTCAATTGAAACTAAACAAAATTGATTCTTAAATGGACTCATACTATTTTGTTATAGCTTAATACAAGGAATGAACATTTACACTTATCTTGTTCAGTATTTTTTTTTTTTTGAAAAATAAATGTTGTAATTCATAAATATGTTAAATTATTCTTGTAACAATTTGTTATCAGAATCAAGGAAATTTTATGGTAGATACCATGCCAATAAATCTTTTTTTTTAATATGGCTTTTTATTTATTGATTGTCAACTCTATTTCCTTAATTTATCTATTTAATTATTGTCACATTTACTAATAATTCCTTTTCAGATGATATGGTTTAGGTTTAAGTGTTATAAGTAATAATCCAACGATTTTTACGACATGTAAAAAATATACAAAAAATATTTTTTTTTTTTTTTTGTTTAATATTTAAACATTATAACCTTTTTTACTTTCTCATTCTAACACATTTGTCTCGTATTGTTTTCATTGAGAATGCAATTTATTTTTCGATTCTATTAAAATAAATGCACATACAAATACATTTTTTTTTTTTTTTGTTTAACCCGACAGCAGAGGAGGATCTGTTTGAACACTACTAGTCTTCTGCTGCCATCGTTTATTAATGTTTAATAAAAATGCTAATACATACACATAATTAATGCATAGGTAAATTATGGTTGCTTCACCTTAAAAATAAAAATATTAATACAATAAATACAATGCGTTACAATAAGTAAATAAAGTCCGTCGGTAATCGCGGTCCAATGTCGAGTGCATCTTCGTGTCTCAGCTATCCTTTCATCATGCTCCTTAAAGCTTAAAATGTTGTCGACCATATCGTAAAAGGACTGAGTGGCGCGTCGGGAGGCATCCTGTAGCTGGTCGTTCTCGCTGCCGGGACATCAGAGGGGCCGCACAACAAATCCTGAACGTCACCCGGGGTTATATTTCGGTTACCAACAAACATCTTCACTGGCAGCCGAATTGGATCCCAGTAAGCATAATCAAAGATCGTGTGCTCCGCAGTGTCATCCGGGTGTTGGAAGTACAGGCAAGCAGCATCAGGGGCGCGCTTCATCCGGTGCAGGTGCCAGGTAGTACCTGAAACACCTGTGTCCCGTAAGAGCCTGCGTTACACGTCTTTGGGACACCTTCTCGTCCATCTCAGCAGGTCCGGAAGAATCGTGCGCGTCCAGGCTCCTCTAATGCCACGACTCCACCTGTTCGACCAGGTAGCAAGCAGGATGTCACGCTCTGCTCTCCGAATCTCATCCATTGAGTCAGCTCTGTCCGGGTCGTCAAGTTTACTTCGGACTCTTTTGCGTTCCAAAGCAAGAAGATCACCCGGAAGAGTTCCCGCCAGGAATAAGGCTGCCTCGGCCGAGACTGTGCGGTAGGCCCTCGTGACTCTGAGAGCCGCAATCCTCTGTGCCCGAATCATGAGGTTTCGACAGATAGCGTACTTGCATGCTCTTTCAGCCCACGTTGGACAGGCGTACAGCAGCCTGCTGTTCACCACTGACATTAGCAGCGCTCTCTTGGACTGTGAGGGTCCTCCAAGGTTGGGCATGAGCCGTCCTATAGCCAGTGTTGCCTGAGACGCCTTCCCCGAAACAGTAGTGAAGTGTCCACTGAATGTAAGGTGTAAGTCCAGATGGAGTACCAGGTATCGCAATTTCCTTAGCAAAGGAACTGTGTGACCCCCTACAGCGAACACAGGATCCCGATACGCCCACTTCTTAGTCAGCATGATGGCCTCGGTCTTGTGCCGTGCTAGTTGAAGTCCATGAGCGCCCATCCAGCCATCGAAACATAGGTACAAATACCTAATTGAACTTGAAGTAATCTTAAAAATGGTGTCTAAACGCTTAAATAATGTTATTCTAAAAGTCTCAAGGTTAAATTTATTCATAGTAAATTACTCAAGATGTCATGTGGTTATGTGCATGCTAGACTTTTATACCAATAATTGTGATATTAATTAACAATCCAAAAATAATAATATTTTTTGTTCATTATTAACTTTGCAGCTGGGTATTTTTGTAGTTACTAATTGATATCAGTTTTGGAATAATAGTTTTAGAGTTTTAATACGTTCTAAACAGAAATGACAAAGATTAAATGAATACCCTTAGATTTTTAATAGTTTTATAAGGAACAACTGTTCTAATCTTATTTATCATACCTACCCAATGTTTGGCCTCCAAGGCGCATTAATGTCTGCAATTTTACAGTAATTAAATATAATTTCATAATAAGGTTGTTAAACTAGTCACTGACGATGGCTATGGCAAGTTGCTCCATGATTAATTTTCTATTTTAAATTTATGATTGAAAAATAAATTTTTTATCATATATTATGGAAAAATCCAATATTGGATATTTATCAACTATGTTTTACAATTTGAAAAATAGGCACACCAAAAAAGTTTTACAAAGAGCATTGTTTTGTTACAACACGTATAAATTATTGAAAATGGTTTCTATTAAGAAATGAACTAAAAAAATAAAAGAATATACCTGAAAACATTTCTTAATAATATTTTTAGTATCTACCACATATTATAAATAATTTATTTTTGATACCTCTAAACTTTAAATAAGTTTATACTAAAAAGTGTCGTTAACAAGGTGTAATTGCACACAAATATAACATGTAAAAATCAATAATTAGCAGAAAAAGTGTCAGCAGACAAAAAAAGAAAAACATCAATGTAAAACCAATACATTCATCACTTTGCATGCAATCTACAACTATTTGATAATAATGAGTGTTTGCTATTTGCAATCTAAATAATGAGTAACTACCATCTTTTTAATAAAAATAAATATACTAAACATTTACCTACAAATCTAATAACTAAAAAAGCTTGTTCGATGTTAATTTAAAATTATTACATAGCAGTTCAGTAAACAGTCATGACATATTGAGTAAGTATACAGCGATTTAAGACGTTTTAATGATGTTTATCCGAAAAAAAAATAAAAATGTTATAGTTATCAAAATGTAATGTGTAATTAATAAATTGTTATAAACTATGGGCTCTGATTCTAAAACACTCGAGTTTCCGACCTCTCATAGACTTTGTTAAAAAAAAGCTTTGCTTGGGTTTCTGTGATGTAGGCACTAACCACGTTACATATTTCATAAGAAACTACTTTAGTTTCTTTTTCTCGTCCAAAGTATATGTACCGTTGTTGTGGTAACAATGTAATATACGAAACATAACATCACAATATAAATGTGTCAAGAATTATTTTTATTGAATAGATTATTGAAATACTTTCATTAAATTTAAAACTGACACATTCATGTGCAAATGGTTTCTCACAAATATAAAAAAATGAATTTAACTCGGACTTTAATTATAAGTATAATCATTGGTGAAATAATTGTGTTATATATTAGTTTAAAACATAAACTTAACCCTTGTAATTATTTTACTTGAAATAAAAACCATCGTATTTTATAATTTAAAAACAATTATATATCAATATGGAGAAACTGTATTACATGATTGTCTCGAGTTTATGATAAAATGTAACCAGTGATATTTAAAAACAAACACAATTCCACTGTAGTGGTTTCAAATGGTTAATAGATTAAATAAATATTGGGTATAATAAGTGAAATAGCAACATGTTAATAAAAATTATTTAATTATTAAACATTATATAGTATGACATCTAAATTTAAAGGTACTTAGTTACATGAATATGGTATAATTCCATTTACAAAATTGTTTTATCGTGTTCTTCAGCTTTTAAATGATTGATTGCATTTATAGTCCATGCATCTTGGACCCCTTCTGTATATTCTCTAATAAACCTATAGTTCAATACAAATATATTACTCTTTAATTCTTTTTGTATATCTACAATTTCTTCAGATCTTTTTTTGATCTCTTCTAAATTGTGAATAGCGTGATAGCACATTGTTATTTCAACAAATCGTCGATCTTTAACTAGAAAATTAAAATTTCTCAATATAATATGATCTTATTTAAATAGCATGAATTTAAAATTTAATTGCAATAGGCATGCTCACGTTTTGTGTCATTAATAATATCCAATTGAACTGGTAAAAATAAATACATGTCATTGTTATCAAATGCCATGTCTTTTATTTCATTGTCACTGAGATCTGATACGATCAATTTCACCTGTTCTAGTACATCATTGGTGACCAGCCCCTGTAGTGTGGTAAAGTCTCGTTTGGAAATGCAATTTGACACTACCTCAACAGCCTGCAAAAGCAACAAACAACATCATGACTGTTTTATGCTTGGTTTCATAAATCAAAATTGTAAATAATAATAATGATAATCATTAATCATGCTGGTTAATAGTTGTGTTGAATTTATATGCTGCGAACCTTAAAAATCGCTTCTGGACCCCCTAAATAATCTCAATGTTTGAGTTAGTATAGGGGCTCCAAATAGGAGATCCATACTCTAGGATGGATCTAACTAAAGCGCAAATAAAGCAACCTTAGTGAATCTAAATTTTTAAATTCAGACGAATGACGCTTAACATACCCAAACACACGAAGTGATTTTTTTACTGTACATTCTATATAGTCCTGAAAATTTAGGTTATGGGTTAAGGTTATACCGAGGTCTTTGATGGATGAAATTGAATAAAGATTTTAATAACCAGTTAGCGTTCAAAATGCTTTAGTGTCACTATGCTCAATGCTATATATTTGTTTTATTCTGTGATCATCACATGTTGTTGGTACTTTAAGTAGAATTCAATCGTTACAAAATCAATTTCCACGAAAAGTTCAGAAATTGTCTCAGTCATTATGTACTTCATTTTTCATATGAGAATATACTATCATTCTTATTTTTTAAAGACTTGAATCGTTAGATACAAAAGGAAAATAAAAGATCTATGATTTATTTTTAAATTAATAAAATGATTTAATGATGTGTAGTGAAACCTCTAAATACTGGAAATATCATTGACTGAACTTTATCCGCTGTTCAGAGGGTTCAGTTAGCTCCCAAAAAAACGTGTACTGTTTGGAGGTCTATTGTAAGACGAGGTTTCACTGTATAAACTAGGTACCTAGAATTATTTGCCAAATTAAACTTCTATGATCTAAGTTTCATACTGAGTTATAATTATAAATTAATTAAGTTTATATAATAATTCATTGCATTTTCTAAATACTAGTCATACACTATGATTGTAATTGGGCATTGCACACTTAAAATATAATAAATAAATGCAATTACAAAAATATACAATGATGGAACACACCTTTCTGGAGTTTTTGGCAAACTCTCCAAGACTGAAGTCTTTGTCCAGTTGTGGTTTGATTATTAGATATGAATATAGCAGAGCTTTGACTGATTTGAAAACGTTAGGCCAAACGATTGGTGGAAATTCTGGAACTTCTGGGAACGGCCTATAATTTTTGTTGCAATAGTGCCGGCGGACATCTATCGACATCGTGTAGGTGATGATGTTGGGTGCATGACGCAAAAACGACGGTTGTTGTGGTTGAACTCCAATGCTGGTGGTGTTGTGGCTGAACAATTTCGCACCAAGAGAACTATTACTCAGAGCACTGATCGCGTCAACGTTCAGCGACCTACTCAGGTCATGTAAGAGTGAGCCGGACAAGAACTTTTTACATAAACTTGTCGAATACATTGTTATACTCATTGTACATTAATTGTGTGCGTCGTGTGCGAAACATAAAATGAAGGCGATTTTCAAATGAAACAAAACATTTGGAATTACATTTCACTCTGACACATATCACTTAACTCATATCACAAACTAAAAATGTATAAATAAATAAATTATTATTATTATTAAAAATCATGATAATAAGTAATAACACAGAATCATTATATATTATATACACATAAATATTGTGATTATTCATTATCAAATGGATGATAAGGTTTTATCATCAGGTGTTAATAATTTTTATTTGGGTTGGATTTTGGACGTGTTTCCTTTGCCTTTTGGGTACTTGCTGCTTACGGTTTTCGATTTTTGTCTTGGGCCCTGGACTTAGGACGCCAACCGTTTTCCAAACCATATGTTCTAATCTGTGTCTGTATTCTTGTAACCGTTGCAGTCGACACTTGTTATACCGTTCTCACAAGTCACTGTATCAGTTATTACCTGCTTTCGGTATTACTGTAGAAATAATAATTTTACTTCAGCATGACTTCAATAGAAGTGAAGGAAGTTGTTGAGCATCCCATTAAATTGAGAGGTATATTAAACATTTATGACAAAGCGCTTTCAAGTAATTTTGATGAACATTTGTTTTATATTTGATCTTTAGTAATGCGCCTCGGTAAGCCAGTAATGTTCAACTCGAAGATAGTCACATGTGATTCAAAAGATTTACCAGGAGCTGCTTTGAATGCACATTTAAAAAAAGACGTGACTACAATGGCTGATGCTGAAACATTGGCGGCTGGGTCGTTTCTCATGGTACCTAATGTCCTAGAGTAAGTATGTTTTGAAAAGTTTGATAATTAGTCAATTAATAAATGTTATATTAATGTTTTTTAGAAATTTGTATTTGGGTGAAACATTTTTGTGTTATGTTTATTTAAAGAATGAAAGTTCTCAAACGGTCTATGATATTATTTTGAAAGCAGAAATAGATACTGCGACATCGCATATACCGATTTTGGGACCAAAAGCTTTTCCCAAATTGGATCCATATGCTTCTATTGATGTTATTGTAAAGCACGAAGTAAAAGAACATGGTAGTGTCAAGTAAGTATGAATTGTGCTAAAATGAATTTAGGATTTCATTATTATATAATAACGTACATTTTTTTTAGTAAATTGATTTGTCAAGTGAAATATGATAGAAAACATTCGTTTGAAACAATTTTCAGCTATAGAGTTCCTAAACCTTTAGATCTAAAAACAAAATTTTACAATACTGTAGTAAGCGTCTTAGTAGTTGACATATTTCAATAAATAATAAATGTATAAAATATAAATGTTATAACATAACTCATTTTAGACCGATGAAGTTTACCTAGAAGTTCAAGTCCAAAATATTATGTCAACTCCAATCTCATTAGAAAAATTTATCTTGGAATCATCAATTGGATATGATGGTAATTTTCGATATTATTATTACTATTTTTGATAAAAAATGTTCAAGTGCATTTTTTTATTGATTACAGTTAATTCAATGAATCACTTACTTGATAGCTCAGAGGATAAATCTGTTTTTGGAGACATGGACATACTGGATGTGAAAGAAACACGGCAGTATATGTATAGATTAAGCTTAGATCAAACTGCTGAAAAAAATCCCACTAGGACAAATAATCTTGGCAAGTTGGACATTTTATGGCGGTCTAATATGGGTACAAAAGGTCAAATACAATCCAGTCCATTAGTGAGACAGGTATTTATTAGGTTATATCTATTATTTTAACTTTAATAAATTTGATTAATATCTTGAATACAGCCTGTAAGAAATGAACTATTAAATTTAAATTAAACATATATTGATTGCTTTAAATTACTAGTTAAAAAATTGAATTACACCTTAATAAAATATATGTTGGTAGATTCCAGAATTAGACGACCTAACATTTTCCATAACATATTTACCTGATATGGTTTTTTGTGAAGAACAATTTGACTTCACATGCTCAATAAAAAACAACAGGTAATTTTAAACTAATATAATTTCAACAAATAAATAATATATTGTTAACGGAATTAACAACAATTTTACATTTTAAATGGCTATTTATTTAGCAACTTTGTATCAATATGGATATCAATTGACATTATAATATAACTATACGTTTTATGTTATTGTGTTAAAAATATTTTATAAGTCTAATGTAAAAGTTTATCTAAAACTTAGTTATTATAAAATAGTTACTTGAATGAACCAATTTAATAGAATGTGAAAAATTTATAAAACACATTATTGTCAGATTATTATTAAAAAAGAGAAATAAATTCAAACAATGATTTTTTATTATCAAAGTAAAAATTCCCTAACTTATTGTTGAATGATTAATAAATTTTTTCAGAAACCGTGACATGCAGCTTGTTGTTGAAGTCAGTGATGAAGAAGATAGTAATCTTGCTTGGACTATGATTTCTGGCATACAGTTAAGACTCTTACCTCCATACGCAACAATCAAAACAGTATTCTCGATGGTAGCGCTAAATCATGGCTTACAAGTATGATTTTACTAATAAATAAATTTGAAAAATATTTATTCATAATCTTTTTTTTTTTTAGATTATATCGGGTATTAAACTAAAGGAATTGATTCTAAACCGTACATACTCATACAATAACTTTGGTCATGTTTTTGTCACTCAAAATGTTAGTTAACCTTACAATGCTTTTTAATATTTATTGCTAGTTTCTGTGATATTTTTTAATTATTAAACAATTAACTAATAGAATTTTATCTTATAATAGGAAATTATTATTTATTTATTTTTGTTAATTTATGTATAAGTACCTAGTTAAGTAATAAGTATTCCAAAATATTAAACATGTTTTAAAATAATCAAATAAACATTTGAAGTACAATATTTTATTTATAAATATATTATATACTTAACATTGTTTTGATCAGGTCTATTTTAAATAAATAATAAAAATAAAACAACATTTTGTTTTGATTTTTAAAATTGATTAATCAACATATTATATTCTATAAAAAAATTATTATTTTACGTGATCAATGCACAAAAATTTGTAAGTAATAATCAGTACCAAATACCATAATAATAATACTAGATGGTTATTTGATAAATATTGAGCGTTTTCATTTCCTAAATATAAGCATGCAATTAGTCGTTCTCTTTTTGTGTTCAAAATAATAAAAAATAATACCCTACCCATAGTAAATATGTTGTTATAAATATGCATCTTTGGAACCAATTTGTAAGGAACACTGAAATACACAGTTCAGCAAAAAGAGATTCTCAAAATAAGTAAATATCACAGATTACAATATAGATTTTGTTTGCTTCGGTTTATGGCAGAATATGGCATGCACCGAAGATATCAGGTGGCTAATCAATACGATCATGGTCAACACGAGTATACCGATGTACTGGAGAATTGTTGCAATGCAAATGATTGTCCGTCAAGCCATCGCATCTAAGCGATATTTAACACGCCATAACTTCACTGTTCCATCACTGTAAATATCAAATAATGACTAGTTACAACTAAGTTCAAAACTCCAAATAACGGACACACAAAACATGCAAAGCATCATGCAATATGTATAATGAATGGAAGATTTTCAAAATAATTTATAAAATTACAATATTCTATTATATAGTAAATACATGATTTGAATCTATTATTACAATAGGTACATTTACTGATACAATTATTTCTTTAAAATTATCATTTTATCTTTGGTGGTTATCAACTCAGGTTAAAAAACGACAGTGTTAACACATAAATTAGCATTGTCATATAAACAATGAAAATACTCGCTTATAACGTTAAAACTTTTAGGCGGACATGGAACATTTTTAATATAAAAAAGGATGATAATTTTTATTTTACTCTGGATAAACAACTAAATTTAAAAAAAGATTTCAATATAATCAAAATATATAAGAAGTCTTCATGAGATAAATATTTTTTTTTGTAAATTTTGCTATTTACCTAGAATAAACGAAAAATTAACATACAATAGTAGTGTAATCAAGGCAACCTCTATTAAAGTATTAACGCTCTTAGTACACACTTATTGAGGATTAACATGAGTAGATAACTTTCCTTATTAGTAGCAAAATAAAAAAAGTATATGCATACTTTTTTTAGGAAGGCATTATTTTCATATTATGTTTTGAATTAATAATAGAACTACAGCAAATATTACGTAATGTGTTAGTTAATGTATCTACTAAATTTTTGGAAGAAATAACTACAAAAATAAAAAATAAAAATATTAAGTACTTGAAACACGAGTGAACACATAAAATATCAGGTGGTTAGGTGTAGGTAGGTAAAAATTACCTCAAATAACAATGCTTATCAGTGGTGTGAAGAACCTATAATTTATATTTTATTTATTATATTTACCTATTTACTTAAATCCTTTTAAAACTGATGTCATAATTTTTTTTTAAAGAATATATACACATTTTAACATGATATATTTTTGATTTTCCACCACCAAAGTTAGATAAATTAAAATAAAACATGAATAATTGATAATAAAAAAAATAATTAGAAATAAACAAACATTTATAGCTCAAAAATAAAATTTTACAGCTAAAAATGTTTTAACATTAAATAATGAAATGATAACAACAATAATAAATAAAATAATTATGCGTTCATGCAAAATAAAAATAATTATTGCAAATAACTAACTAATCAAATACATTTTAAACAAATAATAAATAAATAAATAAATTGTTGAGCAAATAAAATAAGTAAATAAATAAATAAATAAATAATAAAAAAATAATTAACTATAAAATAATGTTATAACTGAGTATATAGATGAACCCATACATAAAGTTTCCAAGGGTTAAAATATTCACATGTCCAGGTTGAAAATACGTCCTGTTGACATTGTCATGGCCGATGGAAACGAGATATTTTGTGCCACTCGCCACATCTTCACTTCTCCACGGCTGAAATCATTGCATACACACACCACATGCAAAACTGTCCCTCCACCATACCACCGCTACATATGTATACACTAATATAATGAGAATTAACACATACTGAGCTGCAGTAAAGACATGCGTAGAATTTGTGGCAATAGCATTAATTGGAGAATCGTGTGCTTTCATTTCTCCGAGAAGAGAGCAAGTTGATTCTGACCACATTTTCAAAGATCCACTACGACACACACTCAAAAGTATTGGATGATCAGGAACAACAGCCAATCCACAGATCCAATCTTTGTGAGCATTATTTATAGACTGAATAAAAAAAAGATTATTTAACAATAAATAATAATAATAAGAATACTGGAAAAAATTACTAACAGTAACTAATTCTTGTTTGTCCAGATCCCATTTTTTAATGGCATAATCTCTTGAACCAGAAAATAGTATTTCATTATGTATTGCAAGTGTTTGTATTCCATCATAATGAGGGGGTTCTAGATTAACAGTAGGATTATATGTTCCAACAGCCTCCTCGTCAACTTCAAACATCTTAATGTAATGATCTTTAGATCCAGTGACTATAATATCTTTGTTGTCAAACCGACCCACTGTTAAACACATAACAGCAGCTGTATGACCACTACTCAATTTTCCTCGAACTGTAAACCTTAAAACCAAAATAATTTATTATACTCGATTTCTCAGATAAGTTTTACAAATAAAATTACTTTCTCATATCCCAAATTTTCACTTTGTCGCCAGATGCCATGTACAATGTCCGTCCATAATTATTTAGTGCAATATCATTCAACAAAATTTCTCCAACTGGAATTTGTGATGACATTACAGATCCATTGTTTACAATACCAGATGAGCTGAAACACACAGTTTACATTTAGTTAAATACACCATTTCTGTATAGAACAAACTTTTTTCATAAGCGGTCAAATAAAAAAAATAAAAATACATCGTTTGAGGTCTAATATTTTTAATTCAATTTATATTACCTATTTAGCCAGGTCAAATTAGATGAAAAAAAAAATTCCAGCTAAGAAAATATTATATTTTTTCATTCACCTTTATTACACTGTTACAAACAGGTGAAAAGTAATGTGAGCTTCAAAGGTTATTAGAGGATAAATGTCACACAAACGACCTTTTCATAAATATCTTGTCTTTTATTGGTTTCAAGATAACTGTTTCATACAAAAATAGTAGAGAAAAAAATATGATTTTTTTACAAAACACAAATGACCTTTTCAAAAATAAGTTACTTTCTATTGATTGCCCAAAAAAAAAATTGTAAAAGGAAAAGTTCTATGAAACATTGTGTATTTTGCAAATATAATTTTTAAAATATATTAAATGTTGTATCAACTAGAGCTCCCACAGATTAACAAGAAACAGTTGATCTGTGAACATACTATGCTAATTTTAAGTTTGCTATTTACAAATATTACCTGAGTGTCTTAATGCATTTAGATAATCGCATATCCCAAACTCTAACATATGAAGAAGTTACACTAAATACAAGTTGTGCATATTCATCATATTTTATTGCAACAACACTATTTGGATGCCCGGCTAGTGTTTGAATTTCTTTACCACTGTTAAGATCCCAAATTTTAACAGTCTTATCTAAAAAAATAAAATAAATTTAAACTGTTTATTAATAATTTGCATAAATAATTTAAAGTATTAACCTTTTGAGGCACTAAACAACATATCATCAGTAGCATAAACCGCAAGAACTGCTCTAGAATGACCTTCTGTGATATGTGTACATACCAAAGGAGTTTTCAATGAAGTCTAAAATAAAAATAAAGACAATTTTAAGATATATACATGGTTTTACTAAAAAAAAATACTAACTTTTCCTTGGTATGGTTGTATCACACCTTTAGATCGCTGTTGTTCAATAGGTTGAGTGGTACTAGATGTAAGGCGAGAAAAAACATTTTCATCGCGACTGATTGCTCGACGATAGGCTGGTGGAGAATTTGGAGGGCTTTTGTTTAGTCGATCCCTGTTAGATTGAAAAATAAGCACCAACACCAATGAGTTAGTACAGTTAATTTATTTATGAGGTTTACAAAGCATAATAAATAATTTTAGTTAACTTAACTCTTACTAAAATAGAAAAATTTTTTGGTAAAATAATAGATTAGGATTTTAAAAAGTTAATAGTTAGTAGGGGCACTCACATTGAACCAGGTTTGCCTAGTAAATTTGTGTTGGGAGAAATTATAAAAGTTCCTCGCCTAATAGGACGAGGTGATACAGATTCTTGTCTTTCAATTTGTTTTCTGCCCATCACTGGTGATGGTTTAAACTTATCAGGTCTGAAAAACATTTTAATTGTATTGTTAATATAAAAATCTCTAGATTAAGAATTAGATTATTAGATCTACAATAAACCTTAGGAAAGAAGAAGCACTTGGCACTCGCACCAGAGGTACTCGTTGTTGGTCCACATTTTTGGAGGCATAAAGAAGTTCTTGTGCTTGAGCAGGTCTGCGTCTATGTTTACTTGTCCCAATATCATTTTTGGAGTGTGTACTACTTCTGAAATAATAATTGAACAAAACAATTTATAATTTTTATTTACAAAAAATTACTAACTCATAGTATAATTTCCACTACAAAATAAATACAATATTTTTTAAACATTGATTTAATAATAATCAATTAATTAGTTTTTTTCATAAATTAACTTAAAACAATTGTCAAAAAAAAATGTAATCAGTGAGTATAAATTATTGAAATTAACATTAAATAACTTTTTATTTAATGTATAAT